GATCCATATCAAGTCATCCAGCGTTTGATCTAGATCCAATTGTAATCTGCGATAGACATTGGTTTTGATGTGGATCTTTAATCTTATTCTCGATTATGAAAGAGCATTGGTTCATTTATTGGAAATCGTTTTACATATAATTCAGATGCGCTGCCGTCCTATTTATGGCTTTCGGAAATCTAAAAATTTGACACGTTTAATCTACACGGCAAGGAACATCCACATGGATGGCACGGAACTGTGGTTGTCCTACTGACGATTTTCAAAGCGTTGAATTTTAATAGTCTCTTGAAATCTTCTACGAAGGCCTATATAATAGTATACAGAACGATTAAGTACTTAACTATCATTTAAATAAAACACTTTAACGGTTTAAAACGCGATATATTAGTTACGCAAAGCATCCGAACCATCGGGTCGTAGTTAAAATCATTTTTGAATAAGTGTAACTAATATATATCGCGTTTTAAACCGTTAAAGCGTTTTATTTAAATGTGTACTACTTGCGTGAACTATAGACAGTATTTAAGAATGGATTGTTTTAATTGATGTTTTACTAAGCTGTACTATTAGATTTTAGACGTTTAGATGTTAGAGTATTTATTTAGTAGAAAGAAGTAGAGCAATAGGTACTTTGTCAGTGGAAATTTTTTTAAATACGACTTTTCGTAGATACTAAAGAGAGGTACGGAATGGAAAAAAAATATTTGTCTTGTCTGTAAACGGTACAATCTAATAGTACATCTTAGTAAAACATCAATCAAAACAATCCATTGTTAAATACTGTCTATAGTTTACGCGAGTAGTACACATTTAAATAAAACACCTCGGCCCGACGATTCCCCGTGACCACGGCTGCTGCAAAGCATCCAAAACGTCGGGCCGAAGTTAAAAATCATTTTCAAATAAGTTTAACTAATATATCGCGTTTTAAACCGTTAAAGTGTTTTATTTAAATGTGCACTACTCGCGTAAACTATAGACAGTATTCTTTCATCTGACCAAAGCAAACATTTATCATCAACATTAATATGTCAAAAGAGAAAGGTACCAAGTCATACGGTTTGTGGCTTTGTGCGCATTCAAAATCGACCATTACCTTTTCTTATAGATTATGGTTACCTAAAAATAGCCAATCCTTTGTTTTATAACATATTCGGGTGGCCTCAGTTAGAATTAGAGCAATCTTTGACACCGAACGCCCCCGATTTCTTGTTTACGTGTTTTGAGAAATAGCTGCGACCCATTCATGATTCTGAGGTTGTGAAGTGTGACGTCACAGAACAACACAAAAACACTATTTAAATAAAACACTTTAACGGTTTAAATCGCGATATAGATTAGTTAAACTTATTGGCAATTATTTCAACTACGGCCCGACGATTCTCAGTGACCACGGCTGCTGTAAAGCATACTAATATATATCGCGTTTTAAACCGTTAAAGTGTTTTATTTAAATGTGTATTACTCGCGTAAGCTACAGACGAGACGAATGCATAGAAATCCCTCAATATTTTATATGGAAACGAATATTTACTTTAAAAAACAACAGTTCACCTTCGAGTAAAAGCTTAAGTGACCATCGCGAGATAAAGATATCTCGCGATGGTCACTTAAGTTTTAAATTGACGCTTAAGCCAAACATCGTATATGTACATACATAAAACGCTGTCGCAAACAACATCGTTTTCAAATAATAAAATGGGTATTTTATTCTCTCACATCTCAATATCCTTTAGCCCCATGACGAAGACACATCCTCGAAAACAACATAACTCTGGCCTATAGACATCTCAAATAGGTTATCTAACAGTATTATATTCAAATCGGACCGGTAGTTTCACAAGAAGCAAACTGTTTACTGTAATAACATAAGTAGGTAGGTCCAAGATCAAAATGGGTCGACAGCATATCTGAATTAGATGTTACAGGGCTGGGGCATTTCACTGTCAATAAATCCTCGTGTTTAAATAAAACACTTTAACGGTTTAAAACGCGATATATTAGTTAAACTTATTTGAAAATGATTTTAAATGATTTTTTTCGTCGGGCCTAAGTTAAAAATCTATTTCAAATAAGTTTAACTAATATATCGCGTTTTAAACCGTTAAAGTGTTTTATTTAAATGTGTACTACTCGCGTAAACTATAGACAGTATTTAGATCCTCATGTTTTATATCTATTCTAATATATAAAGCGGAAAAGTTTGTTTGTTTGAACGCGCTCATCTCAGGAAATACTCGTTGGATTAAAAAAAATCATTTTGTGTTGGTTTGAGCATTTCTTGAGGAAGGCAATATAAAACATGCTGTGGCCAATAGAAGCGAAGAAACAGCTGGAAGCGTAGGAAAAAACGGGGAAAAGGTTATATATTTAAAAGAATAATACTTTAAAAATCGAAAATAAAATGACAAAATTTTCGACTCGTGCAGAGCTTGAACCGGCACCGTCAGCACGGAACGCTGACGATGCCGGTTCAAGTCCTGCCAGAGACGAAAATTTTGACAATTTATTTTTAATTTTTAAATTGTATAGTGCCTGCATGTGCAATAACATGTAAAAAATAATAAAATTTCAGAATAATATTTCTTTGAATTACGTAAAAAAAAAGTCATTGACAGCATGTGTCTATCTTATAGGATTAACTTACAAGAACGACGGGACGCGGACGTCGTGAGTAGCAGCTTAAACTAATCCAGATGCCCAAAATAACTATTCTACGCGGACGAAGTCGCTGACACAGCTAGTATATAATGTACGATTATTAACAAAACTCGTTACATTTTACAGACAACACAAGTTAATTATGCAAAATTTTGTATGTCGCAACTGAAACAACATAACGAACTTCTCAGAAGCGAATCCCGATATTACCCAACGTCCAGTAATATGTCAATTTTCCCGTTCTCGTTGTTCCTGGAAAAATCGAGACAGCCGAATTGTGTTTTATTCAATCATACATTATTTATTCCGCTCCACTTATTCTAAGTTTCGCGGGAAAGAGACAGTTCCGGTGGAAAGAGATGGCTACATCCATTATTAGACGTTACGTTTATGAAAAAAAATGGCTTACGGCTGAACATATTTAGATTAAATACTGTCTATAGTTTACGCGAGTAGTACATTAGTTAAACTTATCTAATATATCGCGTTTTGAACCGTTAAAGTGTTTTATTTAAATATTTAGATTTTTTTTATAATTGAGGAGGACAGACAAGGCCACAAAACATCTATATCTATACAAGATGTTGACTGTTGACTGTTGACCTATTTTGGCTTTGGATATTCGGACATCCACAGACTCAAACCGAGACGATATTAAACTTGACGATTTCGTCAGTCAACAGTATAGTTCGTGACCCGGATGGAGTTTAAATATTTTTATCACCCAGTTAATTTCAAGATTTCCAGACGACGTCTAACCGGTTTCAAGAATTATAAATTGATTTGAAAATGTTGGACCCGGAGGAAATCAAACTCACAATCCGTTGTTTATTATTTTGCGACCATTACACCATCGTTTTCTGCTAAAAACCTTTGTCGCCTTTGGTGATTGGTCTCAACCCTTCTTGCAGGCCCCCCCTGTAGTGGGAAAGGAGGTTTTATAGCACTGAGCCACCACGCTAGACCAGTGCTAGAGGGCTATAGCCACTCAACTCCGTAGTGATGATAACCGGGATACAGTTTAATGTATAGCATATCTCTAAAAGACTTTGTTTTAAAATCTCCAGAAGTATATACTATAATAAAGACGAACCAAAGCTATCAAATACGTAAACCAATAAACGATACGTAGTGCTCTTAAAGTACGTGATGACTAAAATGAAACTTGGTGATAAAAGGAATGACGGCGAGTTTATTGCCAGTTCTTCTCGTTCATTCTACGCTCTTGATTTGGGAGTTAGTAAATACAAATTGAGAGTCATTAGTTTTTTACTGGTGTGACGTTTATAAGTGAACCTAGTTACCTACGTGAACTTTGCCTTATTAACATTGTTTCCAATGCTGGTTGCGAACCCTGGACCTCGTAATCTGCAGTCTAGCATTTACCATTGGACTAGCGCACTACTAGCATTTGTTACGCGGGAATTCAGCGGAACAAAGGTGTGGTTACAGAGACATAGCATATATTAGTTTTCAAAATTCACTTTTGGGTATGCTATAAAAGGTGAAATAAATACTTCTTAATCATTTATTAATAGATTCACACCAAATGCGTCACTGGGTCCCGACTTTTAAATATTGTTGTTTCACAAAAAAAAGCCTCTATGCACGTGGGCGTTAACCGACTGGGTAAAAAGCTATGTCACTTTAAAATAATAATATATACAGCCTTAATTACATTTAGATATTCTCGCTATACCCCACAAAACACCATGTATAGCGATTGGTTTTGTCGTAACACAGAGATATACAAAAGAACTAAAACAAAAAAAAAACTTTAAAGTATATGTTATATACAAGTATGTATACTTACCAATTTATTACTGCAAGATAACTTTCTTATCTTCAATGGAACTTTTTATTTAAAAGCGAATTAATAATTCGATCACTTAACACATAAGTCTACATAAATAAAAACATACAACTTAAATTAAAATAGGGAACTATTAAAATTTTACTTACAAAACGTCGAAATATTGAATTTGGTTTAAAACTTTTTTGTGTTGCGCATATGAACTGCATGTAACGCCATTGTCTACTTGCATTACTTATCTGTGGTGGACATTATAAATGGCCAGTAAAAAATATGATACATTTATTATATACAAAACAGAGTCATAACACAGATAAATAACAATTAATTGTTTCCTATTACAACGTATTAGAGTTTAAAATCGCGCCTCGCAGCGTCGTGTAGGATTGCAAAAATGCAAATGCACGCGTTATAAATACAGCCAACATGGCCGTCGCGTCACAGTGCCGGCCGGTTTCCCGCCAAAACTCCTGTCACCGCCAATGGTGTTGTCACTCTAGAAAATTTCTTTTAAGAATTAAAAATGAGTGCGCTCCTGCTTATCGTCGTGTTCGCGTTGTTCGCGTACAAATATTTCGCAAGGAAATCGGTGACGATCTATAGATCAACGAAGGGCGGGAACGAGAAATGGGATTTACCACAGGCGCCCGGGCCTATCGCCCTACCGGTTATTGGCAGTTTACATCTACTGGGAAAGTGCGAGTCTCCTTTCCAATCTTTCACGGAACTGGCGAAAACCTACGGCGACATCTTTAGCATCAAGTTGGGCAGTTCGCAGTGCTTGGTCGTGAATAACTTAGATTTGATCCGCGAGGTTTTGAACCAGAACGGCAAGTTCTTCAGTGGGAGGCCGGACTTTCTTCGTTTCCACCAGCTATTCGATGGCGATAGGAATAATTGTAAGTGTCATTAATTTGAAATTTCTACACATACGTAAGCTTATAGAGAACATTACTTTTACTTAACTCTCCAATACTAAATAAAAATTGAAGTATAATATTTGTATGATTTTATAAAGTACTTATCTATAAATAAAACCATTTTAACCGTTTAACACGCGAATTACATTTTACATTAAACTTATGTATTTGATTTACTGTTAGAAATTATTTTAACTAGGTACGTTTCGAATGCTTTGCAGCAGCTGTGCCAACGGGGAGACTAATAAGTTTAACTAATATATTTCACATTTTAAGCCGTTAAAGTATTTAATTAAATGTGTAATACTCGCGTAAACTACGGACAGTATATAAGTACTTATGTATTTAAAATAACTCTTTCAAATTACTAAGCTTTTAAAGCTTATTAGTCGTTACAAAGCCTAATAACAAAAGTAATGTATAATTTAATAATAAATCTATATTTTTAAATGTAATAAAAAAATATGATTAATTTGTGTAGTTACAACATTATTTTCGATTAAACAAAAACTTCGAGAGAGGTGGGACAGCAAGTTCAAGAACTAGAAAGTTTAGAATAAGAACGAGATGTTACAGAAATTAAATACTATACAAATTTGAAAAATCTTAATAAATGTGGACCGGAATAGTTTACATATATAATATAATAATAATATATATTCTATACTAGCTGTGCTTGACTTTGTCCGCGAGAATCGTTATTTGCGGCGTCCATGTTCGTTTTTGCTAACCCTCTTTATAAACTTAGGCTGTTACTTACCCACGACGTCGATCGTGTTTCTTCCCGTTGTTCTTGCAAGTTAATCTTAAAAGATAGACATATAGCGGCGCGGACGTTTTTTAGATCATTTAAAGAGAAATCATTCTTTTATACATATTTTTTGGGTATCGTGAACCGTTTTTGCATCGTACGCCTCGGAAACCCGTAACGATGATGAATTTTTCCAATTTTTTTCACATTTCTCGCGGTATCTTCACTCCTATTAGTCTAAGTATTTTATAGCCTATAGCCTTCCTCAATAAATGCACTAGCCAACCCGGAATTAATTAACTTTTCCGGTGATTAGCACGTTCAAACAAACAAACTTCAGTTTTATATATTAGTATAGATACTAACCGCTAAATCATTTTTACGATATCCATTGGAGTTAATAAAAAAACTTTCCTATAGACCCAAAATCGTCACCAATTAGATAATAAGTGATTGTTGAACGAATATCTCGTTACCCAGACAATACTTTGTTTTATGGTTTACTCAACAAAGTATCTTATAACCGTTATCTTAGTTATGTATATAAAAATAATCCTAGTAAAAGAAAAACAGAATAACAAGATGTCTGCTAGCTGTCAACCTACATTGACTGTGGATATTCGGCAATCCACAGACTGTAACCGAAACGCTAAGTTTCATGGCTTTTTCATCTGTCGACGGTGGTTCGTGACCCGGACGGAATTTCTATATTCCTACCACCAATTGAATATCCATATTTCCAGGCGAGGCGCAGCATGCTTCAGAAAAATTATAAATTGAAAAATTAGAAGCACCATAGTTTGACCTGGTGGGGTTCGAACCCACGATCCGGTATCATTAGCTGTACATTGCTACCATTAAACTAACGATCTAGTCAAGACTTACCAATATATAAAACTGATGATAAATAAATTATTTGCCTACCATGTGGCTTAAGAGTTTCGCACAAGCGTGAAAAAGAAAAAATTTCAATAGCCAATTGCTCAAATTGACAAATATAGCTTAGCGTAAGCTGTTATAAGATATAAAAGTTCTCTCTTTAACTGAAATCCCCTTTTCCACATGAGAGGCACGGCGCGTACATATTTCTGTGTCTATTTCACAGATCATTGTATTACTAGAATTTAACCCAGCAATTAAAAATTGACTTTATGAAAGAAAGAAAGAAAAATTTATTTACTAAGGCACACGAAAACACATGTTACAATTATTACAAAAACATAAAAAAAAAAACCAATTTTATCTTAACAGTATAACTTAATATAACAAGATAGGATAATGTATATCAGGCCTTTCGTTGAACTGAAACTGATTTTCAGTAATTTATCCACCTACTCAGACGGAGCAGATTCATTAACGCGGGGGGGGGGGGGGTTTGTTGGATTTAGAACTCACCACTACCCACTAAAACTCCAAGAAACCCTTTTAAGGCCTAACAGCTAATATATTTCACGTTTATACTCTTTCGTGTTTAGTCTAATGTACTCGCGTAAACTACAAACAGTTTTTATGTGCACATATGTAGAACCCACCAACCTCTAAAATCCATAAAAGCGATCTATAAAAGGTTGACTTACGTACCTAGTTTTGAATTGTAGGCCAAATGTTATTAATACGCAATAAGTAATAAATGTATTTCACCTAGCACGCATCAAATTTCAACGTTATTAGCAAATTAAGAAGGCCTATGTATGCTTTCAGTGAAGTTTATTGTTACACGGTTACAAGTTATAGGCGGTAGCGGGAGCGATATTGAAGGCTTAGAAAAATTCGCCAGTATGTGACATAACATGTTGCAATTTTATATTTGATTTTTTGACATTTTATTACTCTTAGTTCTAAATACTTCGATTGAGAAGTTAAAGTACAAATACCAGTATTTTTTTAGTATGTAAACAAATATTAATAAAATAATTAAATACAGTACTTGTGTTTAATTATAATTACAATAAATGAATAGAAGAAAAGATATACCTAAAAAGTCTTAGCACGGTGTTGATACAATATAATATGTCATACTTTTATTTAAATTTTAATGAGCCAGTAAAAACGGAGATTCTGAAATAATTTTCTCGTTTTGCACATTGACAAACACTGAGTTAAGCGTGGTCTAGAGTTCGAACTCGGAAAGCGTAACAAATAGATTAGAGGCAACATACGGGAAACAACACAAATTCAAACTCAACTAATTCAACTTTAAAAGTTTCCATGACAGTATAATAAAATGTAATAAATAATGGGCTCGTTGGTGTAATGGTATAAATGTATGGCTAATAATCAACGGGTAGTGGGTTCAACCTCCATCCAACGTGTTTCTAATTTTTCTGAAACATTTTCCACTTCCACGTCTTCCACGTCTGGAATTCTGGATATTAAATGGTTGGGAAAAGGTCCATCCGCGGATAAAAAAGCCGTGAACCTTACGTCTGTGGATTTCGGAATGTCTGAAATCGAAAGAATTTAATCTGTGGTCACGGGGGGATTAGTTAAAATAATTTTTAAATAAGTTTAACTAATATATTCCGCGTTATCCGTTCAAGTGCTCATATCAATAATCAAACAAATAACAAAGTAAAGGATCTTAAGTAAACTCTCGAATCTCTCATAACTTAGGCCACGCATAGCTCAGTAGTTAATAATTAAAATATTCCTATTACAAGGGCATATCTTGGTTAATAGGTCAAGTACTGTAAGTGTCCTATTTCTCTATATTGCACTGCAATTATTAAGACAACAAACAAACAACCTGGGAGTTCAAAAATATTTATACTTATCTTGACTACAGTAAATTTTGATTAGTTTACGTAACAAAATTCTAACAGTTTAAAACGCGAAATATATTAGTTAACTACGTCACGAATGACTACGACTGCTGCAAGGTTTTCAAAAAGTCAAAAAGTACATTAAAATAATTGAACTAATACATATCGAGTTTTAAACCGTTAAAAGTGTGTTATTTAAACTATAGATAATATTTAAGTGACTTAAGTTTAGAAGCTAGTTATTAGACAACGGGATTCCAATCTGCGTCATTTTCTGTGTCAAAAGATATTTTATGATTTCATTTAATTTTATAAAAGCAACAGTCGGCATAGATAATTTGGATATTTGAGACTCTATCACGCCTAAACAGCTCGACCAATTTTGATAACATTCGGTGCTATCTCGAACTAAATGTGTGAAAAAAAAACTCACGTTCTGATTTTTTTCGCGATCTCTATAACCTGCACACACGCAGCGCATCTAATAAAATAGATTTATTTCTGTCGTCACCCAAAAAGTATTGACGTTCTGATGAAATTATCGAGTGTAATTTGATATATCTAGTATTATTTTGACATACATAATTTAGCTGAAGCGGTTACTATGGCCGAATTTTGTTTTATATTTGATAATATTATTATGTTCAAAAACACTTTCACTGACGTTTCGTTCTCTCCTCGTGACCACGGCTGCAAAGCATTCGAAACGTCGGGTCGTAGTTTAAATTTTCTAATAAGTTTAACTAATTTATATCGTTCTTTATTTAAAAATACGGAAAGAATTTAAAATCTCTATGTTTATATGTATTTTTTATATCATATTATGTAAACATATAAAATTATTTTTTGTACGTTCGCATCTACGTATAGGATTTGCATGGCATGCATAATACATGCGTGTCTGACGTTAGCGATTTGAAAGTATGATTCTTGTGAATTCGCTATCCATTTGGCCGAACTTGCTGCTTAATGCAAGAGCAATATTTTGGCCCTATCTGTTTTGATGCAATTTTGAAGTTATATTTTCATTCTTAAAATATTGTACCTAAATGGAATTAAAATTTTAGTAAATATAATATATACTTCTATACTAATATATATATATTAAGCTGAAGAGTTTGTTTGTTTGTTTAAACGCACTAATCACAGGAACTATGGGTTCGAATTGAAAAAATATTTTTGTGTTGGTTATAGCATTTATTGAGGAAGGCTATAGGAAATATCCCGCTGTGACTCATAGAAAACGGGGAATTTTTTATTTACCCAAAAAATATGTATGAAATAAAGACTCCCTCTTTACATGATCTGAAATGACAATAGGAATGTAGTTGGTAGTATGTTGTACCCCTTAAAAAGTTTTCGCTTACGCCACGAAGTCAGTTGTATGTATGTTTATATATAGGTAGGCGTTTGTCCAGAATTCCAATATCCATATTTTGTAATCCATTATTTATTGATCCATTGCATTTTCATTGTTCCAGCTCTCGCCCTCTGCGATTGGTCGAATCTGCAGCTGCGCAGACGCAACCTAGCCCGCCGCCACTGCGGTCCCAAACAGCACACCGACAACTTCGCGCAAATCGGCTCCGTGGCTACTTTTGAAGCAGTAGAACTCATCCAGACCCTCAAACAAATCACCAGGTCTTCATCATCTCCCGTCAACCTAAAACCACTCCTAATGTCTACAGCGATGAACATGTTCTCCAACTACATGTGCAATATACGCTTCGACGACACCGACCCAGAGTTTCGCAAAATCGTCGATTACTTTGACGATATCTTTTGGGAGATCAACCAGGGTTACGCCGTGGACTTCCTACCTTTCCTATCTCCGTTTTACAAGAAGCACATGAAAAAGCTATCAAACTGGTCACACGAGATCCGCAGTTTCATACTATCGAGGATTGTTGAGCAGCGCGAGATGAACTTGGACACTGAAGGTCCGGAGAGAGATTTCCTGGACGGCTTGCTACGTGTCCTACACGACGATCCGAGCGTGGATCGAAACACGATCATATTTATGCTGGAAGATTTTCTCGGGGGCCATTCGTCCGTGGGGAATCTCGTTATGTTATGCCTGACAGCTGTAGCACGGGATCCAGAAGTGGGACGGCGGATAAGAGCGGAGATAGACGCAGTAACTAAGGGTAAGCGTTCAGTAACACTAACAGACAGACCGTCAATGCCTTACACTGAGGCGACTATACTCGAAGTCTTGCGGTATTCCTCATCACCAATTGTACCTCACGTAGCGACGGAGAACGCTGCTGTATCTGGCTTCGGAGTCGAGAAGGGTACAATCGTCTTTATAAATAATTACGAATTGAACACATCAACCAAGTACTGGAATGAGCCAGAGAAATTTGATCCAACGAGGTTTTTGGAGAGATCGAAGGTTCGCGTTCGACGCAACTCGCTCTGCGATTCTGGAATGGAGTCGGATGGCGAGAGAAACGGTCCGATAGACAAGAGCAGAGAGGTGGAAAAGGAAGTTATCTCGGTTAAGAAGAATATACCTCACTTCCTACCGTTCTCTATCGGGAAGAGGACTTGTATCGGACAGACTATGGTCACAACGATGAGCTTTGTCATGTTCGCGAATATTATGCAAGAGTTTGATATAGCCGCTGCTAAAGTTGAGGACTTGAGGCAGAAACCAGCATGCGCTGCGCTACCGAGGGATACCTATCCGCTGTACCTCTTACCACGAAAATGAACGCTAAATTGAACAACAGAAGGTCCATTTTAGGTTTTATTGAGAATTAAGTTTCTGACACATGATTTTACTTTAAAGTTACGTTTTAGAGATATACCATTACCTTAATAAGAAGGGCTTAAATTGTGGAAACTAATGTAGGACAAGTGATGCATAAATAATAATAAAATATGATAAAATCCCAAAAATACAATCCAAGGAACTTACTCAATACTGCTTTCAACAGTCCCGAAAGTTTTTATAACATTTTGAAGCAAATATAAGCAATTATCTCTGATTTTGACAAAAAATTAACTTATTTAAATTGTTCTGTTTTGACGTAAAAGCTGAACAGACAAACCTCCTTTTCCACTAACAAATATTTTATATCTTATATTAAAAATGGACCTCTGTTATTTGTACGTTTTAGATAAATCTTGTGTGTTGTATTGTGTTTGGTTTTGTAGAGAAGCGTTTGTTGATGCTGTAATAGGAAACAAAACTAAAAATAATAATATTAAATCCTAAGCTAAATTTAAAAAGACAATTTTGCTTTTACTCACTAAGATTCGATTGAGAAGCATGTGTCAATCGTTGATGGTTAATCTTGGTTGATGCTGAGTGCTATAAATTATTTTTAGATTTGTCTAAACTAACACCCCAAATATTACATTGGACAGAGAGAACACTACCTCAGTAATGTCTTGTCTCTCTCTAATGTCGGTTGCAGTGTTCGTAACGGCGATCCTTTTTAACAAAGAAACACAATACAACACGAAAGTAACGCTCAAAACTATTTATTTCTTGACTCTAAGATTTTTATCATCAATTCAATAAAATATAGTTTTTTTAGTAACCGACTAATGAATTTAGCATTGGTAATTCTCCTTAACATCGATTAATTAATCAACGGTTAAACATACCAATTCGAGAACATGTCACTTGACACGAGTCACGGTAAACTACAAAATCTTTGATTAAACCCAGTTATTAAGTCGCCATAAAATACAATATGTCATATAGTAGAGTTATTAAGACGTTTTATTTAGAAATATTTTATCGGAAGACTATATCAATTTCAGGCTTTTAATAGCTCAACGGTGTGACCAGTATAGAAAATATCTTTAAAATTGTTATTTTATTTTTAAAAATACGACTGCTTTGTTTATTGGACTAACGATTTAAGTGTAATTCTAGTTTTTAAGCTCGCATGTTTTGTGATACGACAAAATTTTACTCACTTTTGTCGATATATCGTATCGTATACTTGAGAATAGAGCCTATTCGCATTTATGATGTGTCCTAAATATTTATATTTATTTTATTGTCGTCACGCAGTTGTTAAACTGCTTTCAAGAAACGCAAGTATTAAGGTTGATATTACATTGCGCTAGCGCTGCTTGTATCGATAGGTTGAAAAATTTCGACGATGACATGTAGGACTCAGTAGCTGAATCGGTCAGAGCAACAGCACGGAACGCTGACGATGCCGGTTGCCCTACCCGAGTCATATTTTTTTAACATTTAAAATGGTTTTTAAATGTACTGCTTTCAATTTTACGCATAACTGTTCATTAGGAAGTTACATTCATATAAAATATTTAACGATCGGTCAACTTTAAACAGTGTCATAATGTCTTGTTCAATTTGGGCCACGACGAATACCGACTATATCTTGTACAAATAAAAACACATTTTAAAGCTATTATATAAAAAATAATATATTTATATTTTGCACATATTGTTTTAGAATATTGCATGTCAACTTATATGTTTTATTATAACGCATTTATATACATAATATACCAAAAAAACATGCATTTTCGTAGTTACTAAGCAATACAGAATTAGTTTTAGAATATAGAAATAGCAGCATGATAAGTAGTGTAATTTTGTATGTATGTATGTTTGATTAAATGTAGTTATAATTCAGAAATATAGACTTAGCAAATTAGAATTGGTTTTTATATTACCACCCAGGCCTGGATCAGTCCACACAACTGCTATACATTTCAATTCCCCCATTCCCCCCTTTTACATTAACATGTTTAATGATAGAGGAGTACGTGATACACCCCAGCCTATAGCATCTAAACAAGATGTCGACGATGATGTCGACCTATTTTGGCTTTGGATATTCGGAAACCCACAGACTGAACCCGAAATGCGATTAAGCTTCACAGCGTTTTCATTGGTGGACGGTGGTCCGTAACCCGGATGGAGCTTTTATGTTCCTACCACCCATTTAATTTCCAGATGGAGTCCAAGATGTTTCAGAAAGAGTTTCAGAGTTTGCGTTGTCAAAATATTTTAGCTTTAGATATTCCAAATTCAGGAAGTCTAAAACTAAAAACTACTATTTATAAGCTATATAATCTATACTTATATTATAAAGAGTTTGTTTGTTTGAACGCGCTAATCTCAGGAACTATTGATTTAAATTAAAAAAAAACTGCGTTGGTCGCACGAGTCATGGGGGAAGTCTTAAGGCTATAAAACATCAGGCTGCGACTAATAGGAGCGAAAAACAGAGGGAAATGTGGAATATATGTATATTAATATGTCTGTAGAAGTTGGGTTGGTTTATTAAAAATTTCATCCCAGTTTACCGGAAGCGCGGGTTGATGTTAAGTTAAATAACTATATATTACTGTTAACGGTTTGAAACGCGAAATATAGACGTGGCCACGGCTACTGCAAAACATCAGTACATTGGTCGGTAGAATAAATTTAATATAAGTTAACTAATACATTTCGCTTATTAAACCGTTAAAAGTGTTTTCAAATGTGTATTACTGTAAACTACAGATAATGCCTAAATTAACTTTAATTTGTGGATTATTATGGAGAGTAGAGATTTTAGGTTTTTTTTAATATGTCTTTCGACGGCCTGTTTCCTCCAATGGTAGCGACGTACGGCTAATAAATAATCGACCGGTTTGGGTTCGATCCCTATCGGGTTTGCATAACACGTTTCTGCACGTTGGACTTCATCTGAAAAGTCTGGATAAAAAATGGTAGATGTTGGAATATTACTATAGTTCCTCATGGAAACATCGGCTCGTGGGAGAGCGGAGCAGGGATATTTATATATATTTATGAAAACACACCCACTTAAACTTTCACATATATGTATTTGCACTGTTAATATAATTTTGTATAATAAACGTACAAAAACCCCGACGTGTTTCGTCAGGCGTGTCGAGAAGAGAAGTCTTTGTTTTTGGTCATAAAACAATATGCTGGGAATTAAAATGAACATAGAATAGAACATTTTTAAACCTAATTCAAGTGTTGCCAGCCAGTATCAATATATATAACCTCCAACAGTAGGAATATCGGAATTCCGTCCGCGTGACGAACCCCCTTTCTATGATCAAATGCCTTTCAGACTGTGACTTTTAGAAGCGAAAATAGGACAGACCTTCTTTTTAATCTATACTGTATATATATCATAAAGGTGAAGAGTTTGAAGATAACCAATAAAATATGTATGAGAGAATGACTCCTCTAAAAATTTCCGCGACATTATGACTAGCTTTTAAAATTAACTCCCAAGAAAAATGAGAGGCGACCGACGTCGTAGTTACCAGTTGTAATTGAGGCTGCTAGAGGCAGAGTGGCCTAACAAAACCACGATTTTCAATAAGGAGGAGAATCTCAAGTAACTAGCGAAAATGAATTTTTAAGAATTATGTCAACAATCTTCGGTAACGTGCTCTTGTAGATTAACATTTTTAGACTATAAACATCTTGACATGTCATTAAATTGCAGTTAGGCTACTCTGCCTCTAGCGGCCTCAAATTAAAAAGATGTGGTGAAGGACTGAAAAAATTTTGATGGCCAAAATAATTATTCCACGCGGACGAAGTCGTCGGCACAGTTAGTCCATACTAATCTATAGTAATATTATAAAGAGGAGAGATTTTTTTGTATTTAATGGATAAACTCAAAAAGTACTGGACCGATTTGAATAATTCTTTTTTCATTAGAAAGCTACATTTTCACTGAGTATAGGCTATATTTAATACTTGATTACATAGGCATCTATAGAAATTCGGAAGGGGTAAAAAAAATTGCCGTAAAATGTCTTTCTTCGCATACGCAGCGAAAAGTATTAATGATAGGACAAAAAAATGATCGAGGATATATCAATATACAAAAAAACATCGCGTGAGCATATGTCTAACTATTGTAGTTACGTCGCTATAACTACTTTTTTACATTTAACAAATTAATAGAAATGCCGATCAAAATCAGACCGTGTTATCCATACCGTTTATAAATTTTTATCCACATAAATATTCAAGACTGTCTCAATACCTGATGATTACTTCTTTAATTATTAAAATCGGACATTCCATTCAAAAGATATCATGAAGTTAAAATAAAAATACATGCCGGCGGCCGTCACGCTGCGCATCGAGTAACTAACTCGACGAAAGGGGCAGTGGGCTCCTTACGCAGTGGACGCGACCGACATTGAATATTTCGTTTTTTTTAAACAGCTTTGTGGTTCACTTAAAAAGTTCTTTTCAGAGCTACTGAGTTTTAGTATTAGGAATCACACTTTGCATAATATTTGTCAAAGTTCTTTTTTGGAATTAAATCTTTGAACTTGAATATTTTATTTTGTATATTATTTAGTTTATTATTAGTTTATTCTTAATTTCTCTGATTTAAACTAAATACCTAAGAATAGTTCCTAAGCGAGATTAGCACAAGTTCGTCGTATTGGAGAGTCTTCTTCTAAAAATGATCGTCTAGAAAGTATTAGAATGTACGCGTCCCAATCGCGAGCCAGAGAATCTAGCGTCGAACGTTCAGTTCGTCTTGCAGAACGAAATGCAAGATCGTCGCAGCTATACGAACGACAGTCAAGCGCCGAGCGCTCGCAGCGACTTGAAGGAAATAGAGCTAGGAATTCGCGAACGCGTGCACAGGACTAACACTGAACGCTCGCAGCGGCTCCTGACACAGCGAGATAGAAAACGGTCGTTAGGAGCTAGGACGCGCAATACTTTTTTTTCTAATTTAGTGATTCATGGTCGTTTTAATTAGCATGCTTATAATTTAAATATCTGTACCTATTTATGTCTACCCGTGCGAAGCCGGGACGGGCCGCTAGTATGTTATACACGGTATTTCACATTCCATCAAGTGACCACTAAGCTACTACGTCCTCTATCACAAAAAAATATAAGTTATACATTGAAAAATATTAAAGTAGGCATAAATCAAGTTTACACAATACGCTCCGAACCGGAAAATGCATAACGTGTCGCATGTGAAAATATTAAATTTTCCATGAATTTTTCATCATTTTCGTGACGTCAATGAAAATGACATTGAGGTAGGTCCGGGTTGAATTATTGATTCGGACATTTATCAAGGTTTGTCATTGTAGGGTCATTGTAAAATATTGCACACAATCTGTATTAATATTATAAACGCGAAAGTAACTCTGTCTGTCTGTTTGTCTAGTTACGAACTGAACTGATTGATATGAAATTTGGTACACAGATATTTTAGAGCCTGAGAAAGGCTCTTTAATGCCAAATAAGGGTTGATAGGGGTTGAAAAAGGGGATGAACGTTTGTATGGAAATTCGTGGTTTTTGAAGCTAGAACAATGAAACTTTCTTCTTTGGCGTTTCACTTGGTGGAAGGTGAAATACTCTATATAACATACTAGCTGTGCCATCGACTTCTTCCGGGTAAAATAATTAGCCCCAACGAAATTACATCTAAACAAGATGTGCTGTCGACCCTTTTTTGTTTTTGGTTATTTGAATATTCTCTGACTGAAATCGAAACGCGATTTAATTTCAGGGCTTTTTCATCTATGGACGTGGTACCTACGTGATACCTATCCAGATTTTCAAGACGTAGTCCAAAATGTTTCAGAAAAATTATAAATTGATTTCAAAAATATTTGACCCTTGATTGGACTTGTTGATAAGCCATATGTTTGAAAACTATAATATTAAATACTGTCTATAGTTTACGCGAGTAGTACACATTTAAATAAAACACTTTAACGGTTTAAAACTCGATATATTAGTTAAACTTATTTGGAAATGATTTGCAGCATCCGAAACGTCGGGCCGAAGTTAAAAATCATTTCCAAATAAGTTTAACTAATATATCGCGTTTTAAACCGTTTAAGTGTTTTATTTATACTATGATATTATTCACATGTTATTACACTTGATGGCACTATATAGACTCGGTAGCTCAATTGGTTAGAGCAACAGCATGGAGCTCTGAAGATGCCAGTTCAAGTCCTGCCCGAGTTGTAATTTTTTTAAATTCATCATCGATTTTTAGTTCATATAGCATTGTACTTGTCACTCAATTTGAAGACTTCTTGTTCTTGAAAGAAGCTAGACTCTTCTAATATTAGAAGGCAAATTATTCCTCATCAGATAAATTATGATAATAGGGTAGCTCGCTTTATATAATCTTAAAAAATAATTAAAACACTTTGAACGGTCTAAAAGGCGAAATATATTTGACGTTAAACAATAAGGTTTTAGAGAATTTCGACGTACACGCTAATAGGTCAGTCAGCACGGAACTGTTGGGGGTGGGTTTGAGTACCTTCTGTATCTATTTTGTGAACAATTTACTACTTCCAATCATGTTTGTGATGATGACCGTGTTTCTTCTCGCAGACAGTACCTCGCACTAAGTCGTTTACTTTTGATCTGAAAAAAAAATTGCGAATTAAAAACTCCTGTCCATTTTATATAAAAGTAAAATAACTTAAATACTGCCTGTAAGTTTACGCGAGTAGTACACATTTAAATAAACAAAATTAACGGTTTAAAACGAGATGCTTTGCAGCAGTTTAGTCTCCCAGTGACCACGGCTGCTGCAAAGCATCCGAAACGTCGGGCCGCAGTTAAACAATTTTCAAATAAGTTTAACTAACATATATCGCGTTTTAAACCGTTAAAGTGTTTTATTTAGAAGAAAAAAAACTTTTTCAAGTTATTTCTGTTGGAGTTGTGTTGTTCGTAGAGTCCATCTATAGGTCCAAAATGTTGTTAAAGATATTTTGTAAACATATGTGATTTGTTGTGCAAAGTCTGGACAATAAATGCGTAGCAGGAATAACAAAACACAGATATCGAATAGGCCGCCAGCGCATCGTGTCTGTCCTCCGGTATATATATTTATATATCATATACTTATTTAATCTTTATTTTTTTATTAAGAGTTTAGGTGCCTTTTTACAGAGTTTACAACTCATATTCCAGTATACTTTATTCAGCCTATGTGTCTTGTAGTTTGGATTTTTATTTACTTTACAGTTATGTTTACTAAAAATTGTTTATGGTAAGCAAGTACATAACTATTTCTTTAAAGACGGTCAAATCTCTTTGACCTATTTATACCTGTAGATGAAGAAGTTCGGTTCCTTCGTATTTAAAGTAGAGAAGACGAACCGTGGTATTTGGTTGACTAGCACCCACACTTCGTCGCCGATCACCTTCAAATCTGCAAGAAAATTGAGATTTAAGCATTTCCAGGTTTGTAGCTCATAAAAGGAATACGGCTTTTTATTAAGTATATGAAACACCTACTTCGTCTTCATTATGATTAGCACTAAACCATAATTACATATAAAATAATAAAATAGTTGCCTCCGAAAAAGAGTCCACTCGGATTCTGGACTAATGCCCCAACACTGATATTCTATGCCCCCTTCAGAGGCCGAGCTAACAGAAGCTTCTAGCAGAGTGATATAAATGTAAATTTTAAATTCACAGCCATCGTTAATAGTTCCTATAATGATATAGAATATAACCTCACCAGATATATAGACCAATTTCTCATGATCCTGCGCAGCGATGCCGACGTTTTCGGGCGCCATTTTGTGTTCCACGTTCCAACACAAGATGGCGTCTCTCGCGACGTTAGCGTAGAACATGGTTTTGCTAGATGCGTGGTAGCCGTGACTGCCGCTTTGGGAATTAGTACCACGGTTACCTATAAGCTTAAAAAAATTAAAGATTGTAATTTTTATTATACGGAGGCGTATATTGTAATAAAAATCTGTTCACTGTATAAAACGCGAATTATAGATATTACATATCTTATTTACAAGTTATAGATGCCGTTTTAAACTGATAAAAGTTTACTACTCGCGTATATTAGAGGCAATGCTTAATTATAAATATAGATAAGACTGGGGTCTGATAACAACTAAGTAAGATGCGCTTATCCTCGCTTTGTACATTTAGTAATTACAGGCTGATACTAAATCGTAATTTTACGGATATCGTGGATATATTGTGGACGGTGCTACAAGACCCGGACGGAATTTTCATATATTGGTCGTAATCAAATTTAATAACTAGATGTTCCAAACGACGTGTAACATATACTTATGAGGCCGGTAGAGCCAGAATGGCCTAATAACATTTTTTAATAAGGTGGGAAATAAAAATGCGCAATCAACTTAGGCGGAAGTGAATTTGTATATTTGTAGAATTATGTTAACCATTTTCGGTCACTGTGCTCTTGTAGATTAACATTTTTAGACTATAAAAATATAAATAAACCCAGTCATAAAATTGCAGTTAGGCTACTCTGGCTCTAGCGGCCTCATATTGTGTTAGGTTTATGCCACCATTTTGGCTACTTCGGTTTCAAGCTTGTTTGGTCGTCGTAATTATTGTTTCCCTTTGAACAGATTGAAAACTATTACTAATTTGAGAAACAGATTAGACCTGGTGGAAGTCGAACCCCAGAACCACTTAGGAAGTGGTAACTATACGTCGCTACCATTAAATATTTCATTTCCCCTATATGGGCAGACATTTTTGTGTCTGTTTACTAGTCGCTTTCATGTACAAGTAATGAATCTTATATTCTGGCGACAAAACCATTAGTTTCGACAGAAGTTAGTGTTTGTTGCTCTGAGCGATGTTTATTTATTAAGCTGTGGTTAATGGCACTACTTTGAAATAACATTTTGACGGTTTTAAACGCGATATATATTACTTAAATTTGTTTGAAAATTATTTTAACTACGGCCCGACGTTTCGGATGCTTTGCAGCGGCCATTATCGAGGGAGGCTGCTGTTAAAATAGTCAACCAATATATAAAGCATTTTAAGCCGTTAATTTTTTTTATTTAAATGTGATCTACTCGCGTAAACTACAGACAGTATTTAATGGCAGTACTTATCAAACACTTCGTTTGCTTTAGGTTTCACAGGAAACATTTGTGCTAACACTTAAAACACATATGATATAAGAAAAACACCTAAATAAATAATACCTTTTACATTAAACATACAATAAAATAGTATACTTCCCGTAGTTGTGAGGCGATAACAAAGATTCGAATACAAGAAAAAACATGATTTGTGCAGGTAGCACACAAAATAACCGTTTAAAGTGCCAAAAGTTTAACTAAAATATCGCATTTTAAACCGTTAAAGTCTTTATTTAAATATGAGGCTGCTAGAGAGTAGCCTTACTACAATTTTATAACTTAAGTAATTTATATTTCCATAGTCTTACAGTGTTAATCTACAAGAGCACAGTGACCGATAATTATTAACAGTATTTTTACACTAATCATAGTACAAATTCACTTTCGCCTAAATTAATTGCCCATTTTATTTTCCTCCTTATTGAAAATCATGTTTTTGTTATTTAACCACTCCGCTTCTAGCAACCTCAAATAATATTTAAAAGCGGCTCACCATGGAGTTTCCTTGAAAGGAATTATTCTTCAAGAACCCTGTGTCTATTGCGAACTCGTTCGTGGACACTAGCGGGTGGTAATAAGCTAACGTCCGTCCATTGATGTTGGATAGGGCAACACTAAACAGGCTGTCTCTCCAATTAATTGTGTGTCCTAGAAATAGTCACATTATGTAAAAATACATTAATGAAACTGCTGTGAACAGGCTCCATACCTCAGAAGATGTTTTAAGACCCACCATGCAGAACACATTCATAGGCCCAATTATAAGATAGAACTGCAGATGTGTCTCAAACCTATTACCCGACTAACGGAATAATGTACTACTATGTGTAATATCGTAAAAATGTACTGAACTAAAATTTCGCTCAACCCGGTATAAGAACCCGAGACTGTGATCTGCTGTTGATTTTACTATGTACTAAAACTTTAATAGTGGTTCTCCATTTGCTTATTCCAGTGAATCTATAAACTACTTGTGCCAGTTACCTGCTACAGTAAAATTAAGCGATTTTTCATCGTACAAAAACGAATCATCCTGTATTCTCCAGGTGTCCAGCCGTTTAAGAGAAAATACTACGAGACCAGCGGTTGCCAAATCTGTAATATACGCGTATGCGTCGGCGCACGAATTCGAAACATCCACCGTGATTGATGTAAGGCCTGAAATCAAAAATAAAATTTATAAATAATAAAAAAATCCGAATGTTATAAACAATATTTTAATTACAGACAAGTGAGGTAAATGAACAGGTCGTTGGTTCGATCTCCATCGGGTCCAACAAGATTCTAATAAATTTATATTTTTATGAAATATTGGGTTTCGTCTATAAAACTGAATGTTTCGTCCGGGTTACAAACCACTGTCTTCAGATAAAAGAGAAGTAAAGTCCGTGGTTTTCCGAATTTCATAAGCCAAAATAGGTCCAACGCACACCTTGTTTGGATGATGTATGTGATTTGTTGATAATTCTAAAACTGTTTTCCATTTTGGCCAGCCGCGACAAAATATACTATAGATGCATACATCTCATATATAACTTACCACCGGAACTTCTCTCGTTAACAAGATCGGAATCTTTCAATTCGTGTCTTAATATTTGTTTGTCCGTCTTCAAATCATAAATAATTATAGCCGGTTTCTGAATCTGTCTTCTGTCATCTGAAAATATCGTTACAGATTATAAATAAAGATATCGATATCAAATAAGTTCTTTTTAATCAATATATAATTGGAATAAGGTAATATTATATAAATAGGGTAGGCTTAAAAAAATATTTGTCGATGCCATCCACAAATTTAACACGTCTCTCTTAACTGTGTTTTCAATGTAAGTTATTGTTTTATTCTTAAAGTTCGCACGACTCGTTATCTTATTTATTTACATATGGTATCTTATTTTATTTTTAAACAATTGTTGCCTGAAAGACATCGCTCCATAGCGATAAGGCCGCCCATTGCACTCCATAATAAGTAATTATTTTTTTTACTGTTCGTAGTTGACACGAGTAGTATAGTTGGCATTTGGCGAAACTGGCCGCGTCCTTGCAGAATTGACTAACGGTGTCTTCGCGTTTACGTTCGCGTTTTAAACGGTTAAACTGTTTTATACAGACAGTATTCACTTGGTGTGTATTGCAATAAAGAGTTTAAATCATTTTATTTATTTCATATTCAATCAACCCAATGATACTCACTAGGTACCTCCAGCAACCCAGTGTCAACCATCCACAGACGTTTGCAGGCATCTATCCTGGGTCTGTACACGGACACCAACTGCTTCGTGGTCTCCGCATCAGGGTAGGGTCGGAGAGATGGTGATTTACCTCCGAGGTACACGTAGTTTAATGTAGACGGTATGCCTGACATAAAACCATATTAATCGATATAGGTTATGTTTAACGCGCTTACTCGTACATACCTTTAGCTGGAACGGGTAGACGCATTTTTTCAAACAAGCATTAATCCCACACTCGTTCGTAACAATATGTCTGGACCATTATTAGAGCAAAATTGAATCAACAACATACCTACTGTAAATTAAAAAAACTACTCCACTACATACTGTAAATTAACTAAGTAAATAATTCCGCGCTGGACAAGTGTAAGGTAATAATGAGACATTTTTTCTTACATCAGTCCCGGGGCGCGATATTGTAACGTTAAGCTGTTACCCACGACGTCGTTTTTTTTTTTTTTTTAAAAAAAAGAAAAGCGTCGCGGCCTTTTATTCTAGATCATTTAAAGAGAACATTATTTCATACATATTTTTTGGATATCTTGAACCGTTTTTGCAGCGTAGGTACGCCTCGGAAAACCTTAATGATGACTAATTTTCCCAATTTTGGTTACATTTCCCCCTATATCTTCGCTTCTATTAGTCACAGCGCGACGTTATAGCCTAAAGCCTTCGTCGATAAATACTCTAACCAATACAAATAATTTTTCAACTCGAACCCGTAGTTCCTGAGATTAGCGCGTTCAAACAAACAAACTCATAGGCTATAAAACATTGGGCATTAATAAATAAGAGCGAATAAACGGCGGGAAATGTGGAAAAAGGGGGAATATTATTTTTTGTGGGTTCCCGATGCGTACCCCGGAAAAACGGTTCGAGATACACGAAAAATAAGTAAGTAGAAATGAATGATTCCTCCTTAAATAATCTAAAAAAGTATGTGCGACAACATATTGTGTCTGTCGTTTAAGATTATCTTGCAAGAACGACGGGACGCGACGGTAACAGTTTAAATCTATAATTATAAAGAGGAGGTTTGCAAAAAAATATTTTGACGCCTAAAATTACTATATATATATGCGGACGAAGTCGCTGGCTGACACGTAGCAAATCGAAAATCATTGCCATAAATCCCTCTCACTTCCCTCCCTTTCTAAAGTAAGCTGAGCGTATAGTTTATGAGCTGGTATTTTCAAGCTGTTATTCTCACCGTGTCTTCGCCTGGGTACAGTGACAAAAACTCTTCGGCCATCGAACTCGAAACCAATGGGTACATTGTTGTATTGAATGAAAAATTTCTCCCTGTCCTCCAGTTCGTCTTCGAAGTTGATGACGTCAGGTTTCCTTTCGAAGTTCTCATTTTTTCTATCTGAAAGATACAAAACGCATCGTTTGTATACGATAGATGAGTTGCACCTGGAGGGGTTCGAACCCACGGCCCATTGATAATTCATGAAACATCTGATTCCGGAGAGCATTATGTTGGTTATTTTATAGTTTTCTTTCTATAATATTTTTTAGTATATGTTTATACATACCTTATCTATGTATTATTAGTATAAAAAAATGTTTGTATTATTACAATACATTTATTTAAATTGTAAAGTTTTACAATAAATAAAACCCTTTGAACGGCTTTAAAAATATAATCATCCTATTTTATTTTTTTTTAAATATCTATCACATGTCAGGACTGTACATGTACATACATAAAAACATTGAAAAAAAAAACAAGTTAGACTACCAACATGGGGAAACAAATGCTGTATTTAAAAAAACTAAGTAATTCTACAATTTCAAATTGCTACTATTAAAAAAAAATACTTGACGGCTAGTTGGGGTAGCAATGTATACTATAGCTAATAAATCTCATGGGTCATGCATTCGATTCCCACTAGGTCCAACACGTTGATAGTCAATTTATAAGTTTTCTGATACGTTGGCAAAAATTAATTACTAGTACATATCATTGGTGTATGAATTTTGTTTACAATTTTCTAAGTCTACTCATAAAATTACAGTTAGGCTACTTTGGCTATAGTGGCTTTATATTGAATGGGCGGTAGGATTATCAAGATCCCGTCCGGGTCACGGACCACCATCCCTAGATCCAAAATCCATAATTTTGTGTCCTTTATCATAAAAAAAACTTACAGAAAACGCCGTTAAAATCATAATCCATTTGTTTCCAGGAAAAGACTTCGTCGATTTTATTCGTAAAAACGTCAACTAAGCACATATTTAAAATGAAAAACATTAACCTTCGAGTCATGTTTACTCTCTCATGGAACACAACTTACTGCATAAAGATGATACGATGCTTACTAGTTTGAACTGGTTTTATAAGTTATTTATATATTCAAAGTATCAGCTTGTTGGTTAATCTGCTTTTTTACGCCCAACGCCACCGATATTAATTATTACTTATTGCTTAATAAATCAGACATGGCGATTCGTCCACAGCAGTATTTATTTCATACAATTACTATTAAGAAAATTTGTAATACTTTTTTTTAAATAATCTAAATGGGTAATAAATCGTTGTCCCATTTTGGCTTTGGATATCCGGAAATCCCCAGACTGGAGTTGAAACGCGATTAAACTTCACGGCTTTATCTGTTATTCGTAACCCGGGAGGAATTTCGATAATCCTGACTCGGTAACTCAATTGGTAGAGCAACAGCACGGAACGCTGACGATGCCGGTTCAAGTGCTCCTCGACCCGCCAATACTGAAGAAGTAAACATATTTTTCGCCTCTGTGAACGTTTGTGTAGTGTAAGGTTAAGAGTAGACAGTTAGAGTAGTTATCTAATAGACAGAGGAAATAAATAACTGCATGGGCACGGAAGGGGGGGTTTTAAAAATCCTTCTCCTTTTCCCCCCAAAACCCAACCCTTTTAATGTGTTCCCCTCTCGCTTCACCCTCAATGTTAGAGCATATGACTACCAAAGGACTGCTTTACAAGATTTACATATCCATAGCAGTGTCAATTTTAACTTATTGGCCAATTGGAACGCGGACAGAGGGGGTCTCTTAAAAGTAATGTACTCACTGCCATACAGATTCCCAACGAAAGAGCTTTACCAACAAAGAGGTTGCTGTCCGTCAGAAAGCTTTATGTTTTGAAAACACTTCTTAAAACACACCGTATTCTTATTTTTGGTATTAAAAAAAAAGGAAGGAAAGAAATTGTGGACAGCAAAGAATGCAGTAAAATCAGTTTTTTCTTTTTTCGGTTGCACACAACAGTTACTGTTGTGTGCAATCCGTCTATTTATACATGAAATTAAATAAGCTTCTAAATATACACTCTTTGAGAAGTTAAGATAGCTAGTAAATGGTAGCAGCTAGAGGATTTATCGAAGAACCCCAGTTCACCAGTAATAACTCTCTAACAAACCATACACATCACGATACACACACCAATATTTTAAAAAAAGTTTTTCTAGATCAAAACTAGATTAATGAAAATATCTGTTTCCTAAATAAATACATTTTATTTTAATTTATTTATTTAATATAAGATGATTGAGTTGATTTTAATTAAAATAAAAGCCAATGAGTAAGGATGAAATTGTTTTCTTTAATACAATAGCTAAGTATCCAGTCATTACATCAATACCATGAAATGAATAACTATCTCTTTATTTGTAAACCTGGTAATGAGAAGAAATATTTCCAAATAGATTTTAAATTATAATAACTTTGTTGTTGAAAATTTACAATTTAGAAGATTTCTTTCATCGTTATTAATAAATATTTTATGGATACAGTATAAATTTTTATTAGTACAATGAGACTAAATCATTCATAAGAGCCCAAAGTATACTACTTTTTTGAATGAAAATTGAGATACATTTACCTTGCTAAATTGTCATATATTATATGATATAAATTTTATTATAATCACAATCAAAATACATTAAAGTATATATTAAATATATGGCCGCTTTGATGAAGAACAATAGTTAACTGAGACATCCTAATATTAGCAATATACTTGCTAATTTCTCCCACTTATCCTTAAGATAATCTCCACCACAATTGCTACTTAATTCATCTGTCAAGTCTTTCCATTTGTATATACCACGAGGACCATCTCATGGTTTGATAAATCACCATTCCTAGAAAATAATAATATACAGTATTTACTATTTTTAGTTAGAGAAATGCAACAATATGAAATAATATTAATTTAAAAAAGTATAAATGTTACAAAAGCCACTTACTTTGCCTTAAAGTCAACCATCATACCAATTGAGGATAATTCTTTATCATTTCGCCTTGATTATGCGACAAAGAACTATTTAAAAACTTCTTGTTTAAGTAACAATTTCAAACAAAATTGTTGATAACAAGGGTTTCAAATGTCAATAATAGGAGACGTTCATGAACACGATGTCTAAACAATTTTGACAAAATGCGTTTTAACGTTAATTAATAATCTCATGTATGTAAAACAATAACAAAAAGTATGTTTTATAACCAAAAATAAATATATTTAAGGTATTAAATTGAAATTTATGTAAAATATTATAAATATTTCGTAAGTGTTTACAACGTTTCAGAACGCACCAGTGTCCAAACAGTATAATGACGTCACTAAAGTTAAACTTACGGAAGTTCTTCAGTGAACTTTTTTTTATGCGGTAATCGTAACGTCTACTCGATACGTTTTTATTTTTTTTTTTTTTATTTATTTATCATATCATCATAACAAATACATTTATTTATATATTGATAGCAATAAAAAACCACTAAGGTTTAAACTGATGCCATACGATTTTTTTTTTGTTTGTTTCTTTCTCAATTAGATTATCCATTAACAGTAAATAACATCAATTCTACACTAGATTCTCAGCTTTAAGCTTACATCTATTTAAATAAATTTGTACATATCTTGGAATTTCTGTTAGTAAATAACGAACTCCTTAAGTAATAACACCTTCGCTAGCTTGGGCGTGTTAACGAGTAGCTGACAAAAAAACGTAAAATGTCAAATGGTAGTTAACATTGCGATTCAGTCCAATATGTCCGTGTCAACTGTCAACTACTAATTAAAATGGCGCGCGCCATGCATCCATGTCATTCTGTGGTTAACATGGCCGCCGCAGTCGAATATACTCGTCTTTGTCGCTCTGGAGGTTAGTTTGTATTTTTTATCTCGTTTGTCATTTAAACCATGGCAGTGTTGTTATTGAGGGTCGATTCGGTGCGGCATGAGTAAAGTGTTTTGTGCTGATTTTCTTTATAAATTTAGTTGTGAATTTCGAAGTATATTGTGCTAATCGAGGTAAGTTAATAACTAATACGAAGATATAAATATTCTTGCATGAAACATAAGATTTCACTTTTTTCGAAACTTACTACTTACTACATTTTGCGTAACATTTAAAAGCTTCATCAGACGGAACTTTACTAAATAAGTAGCAATTTACAAGTAAAATAAGCAATAATTTTGATGTCTAAATGACCTTGAACAACGATACAAAAAAGATTTAGGATTAAGTAGTAAGTAGGTGATTTTGAAGTGCAAAGTAAAGGTAGCAAAAAATAAAACAAATGTTAAATATGTTTATTTGTTTAATTTACGAGTAGGAGAATCGTTAATACTTGCAAACCACTTATCGAGACTCAAGGTAAAAATACCGTGTTACTGATTATTGACTGTTTTTTTATTATTATTCAGTACCTAGTAAAAAATCGGGAGGGCGCAAACGCGTTTTTTAAAAAGCAAAAAAATGATTTATTATTTATAATGTGTATTCGAGTGAATGTTTCGACTAAAGTACATTGGGACTACAAGCTAGTACTCCGGCTATGAGGCATCCGGCCGATAACTTTCCCTGAACTGCATATCAGTCCTTAGAAAAGATATTATACTGCAGTGGCATATCTGGTCACATAAATCCTCCCTCCCCTGCTTAAGTTCGAGATTATCCTCCAGAAGTGGATTATCATACAAAATTTGCTTAACTTATCCTTAAACACCAAATACAACTATGAAAAAGTTAATGCTAAACTTATTACACTAAAAGTCCAGTGTCGAATCATTGACATGCACTGGTTTACTAGTTTTCACTAAAATGTTTAATAGGTCAATATCTGTTAACTATTTCCAAATTCAGTTCATTTCCATGGTCATTTCTTCCTTCAGACATAGTTGGCAAGATTATGAGGGGGAATCAAGAATGTAAAATTGTTACCTTAGTGTTTATTCCTTTTCAATTTAAAGTCTTTAATTCATTATTTTTAACGGCGAAGTCTTCGGCAGAAGGCGTAGAAAAATAATGTCGTCGAAGGCTGCCAATAATAAAAAGATGAAGAAGTTAACGCCTGAGAAACGGCAGGCGTTTGTGCGCCTGAACAACGCTAAACAAGTTGGCAATTATGAATTGCCGGACACGGTTACTTCGTAAGTATATTTGTAAATCTACAAACGTGTTCATGGTCGACAGTCACAACATTATTTTAATATAATATGTAGTTATTATTAAATACAGGAATGGGAAAGGAAAGGGAAAGAGCACCGAACCTGACCATCGGATTCCCTGCCCCGGTGTGCCGTCCACTCCTCCCCCAAGAATACCTCAACCATGGGAGAAGCTTCTGTGTGACGGTATGTTCACAATTTTTTCAACCGTTTTGTCTATCCTATTCAAACATTAACGAAAATATTGAAAAAAATTTTTCCGGGGGGGGGGGGGGGGGGGGGAAAACCCCCCCCCCCGGGGGGGGGCCCCCCCAGGGGGCCCCCCGGGTTCCCCCCCCGCTCCCGCAAATTTTCAAACTTTTGGATACACGCCCCCCTCGCGCAATGTCGAAAATTAAATTTTGATCTATCCCTATTTCAATTATAAACATTTTTCTCCTGCATTAAAGAAATATTTTAAAAATTCATAAAAAAAATTCTCCTGCAGGTCAGATATATTGTTGAGGTCAGTGTGATTGCTTCTAATGGGTACTACAGCTAAAAATAGTTTTTTTTTTATATTTGCTCATACAATACTTAACATTCTAAGTACATACTTTTTTACTCCAGAAACGATAAAGAAGGATATTGACGATGACGTCATCAAAGGCACGACTCGATCGCCCGGTAAGACTAAAGGTAAAATAAGTATTTCATTTTTGTTTGAGCAATACCTTACATTGAGCTTTTTAATCCAGGACTGACAAAAGCTAGACGGAGAAAGAGGGTGCAGGATATGGAGATGGACAAAACGCCGACTGCTTCTCGAGCGAAGTCTAGGTATTTAATGCCTATATAACAACATCCAAATTTCAACCGAACAAAAAACAAAATTGTCACACCTTGTTTGTCGTCAGGAAGCGGGACATAAAGCTCAGTTCGCCAACGGGAAATCAAGTCAAGGAACGGCCTAGCACCCCGTTGGGTGACATTGAGTTCCAAAATTATACGCTTAGTAAGTACCATTTTCTAATAGTTGCTTCTTTATTTTTGTGAATTGGTTGTCAAATGATACCTGACATTACTAAAATTTTGGGAAAATGTTTTAGCCTCCAGCATTTTGGCTAAGGCGCTGGGTTCGGGCAGGAGCGCCAAATCTAAGAACTCCCTCGAAAATGGTAAGTTATACCCTTAAAAAATGGTTATATGTAGATATATATATCATATATAATTATCCCCATCTATGCAATTGTTGATCCAGACCTGTAAAGAAAGAGACGGATGTCGATCTGAAACGGTCTCTCCGACATACTCTCATCAAAATTATTGTGTTAATTATTTATAACTAAAAAAAGTTAGGATAACTTGCAATCAACTTTAAAGGCTTACTTAAAAATGAGATTTATTGTATTATCATATCTAAAATACGATTCGATTAATACACATTTTATTAAAAAACGGTTAGATGTGCTGTCTATAGTTAACGCGAGTAGTACACATTTAAATTAAACACTTTAACCGTTTAAAACGCGATATATTTTAGTTAAACTTGTTTAGAATTATTTTTGACAATGCTGAATTACTTTTTACTAATGTTTTATTTATCTTTTAACTTCATAACACTTAAATAATTTTTAAATCCGAACTGATGATATTGTTGTATTTACTGACAACTACGCCCTTCAATCCTGGACAATTAATTTCATTATGTATCAAATAAGAAACACTACTATACGATATACATATATTATTATTAAAAGAAGCTCATATATATATACTGTTTATGGGTGTACTAGTACAAAACCCTCTGTGACCGCATAATTATTATAACATTGCAAGTATCATGACGAGTTCTAGCGCTACAAATCGCCCCAACTCACGCACACAGACTCTTTTGCGTCTGTGTGCGTGTGAAATACCTAAACTTGACATCGCGCGAAAGGTGTAAACGCTCTTAAGTAAAAGTTATAAAAAATCAATGTTTAAAAACAGTAATAGTTTGAAAACTTTAATAATTTTTACACGTTATTGCACATGATGGCACTATATAAATTAAAAGAGAAAATAAAAATGAAAATATTTTCAAGTTATTTTCGATTTTTAATTTAGTAGAAATAGTTGAAAAACATTATAAGACGAATTTGTTTTTTTTTAGCCATAAAGTTTTCCATCCATGCATTAATTTTTGCTATGATTGAAAATATTCACGACTAATTTTGTCACTATAAATTCAATACGATAAAACTTAAATGCTTTAAGGTTTAAACAATTAAAGTTCCTTGCAAAACAGGGTGTGTAGATCACAGGAATCGAAGGGAAATTGTTAGTATCGTAGGGACGACTATTGCGTTTGTAAGTTTTAACATAAGTTTAACGCACTACAATTTAATAAACGTTTGAAGCAGATCTAATGACGAAGACAATAGATAGTCGTCGAAGGAACTTCTTAACGATTCACAGCCGGCACCTTGAGTTTGAGCTTGTATATGAATGAGACCAACAATAAAAAATATTGCAGATGTTGAGATCGAGCGCAACATGGGGTCAGAGGCTAGTAGCGGAAGCGAAATGGATGTCGAGGAGGAGGTAATAATTTATATTTAATAAGTGGCATGCATTGACATCGACGCGGTGAAATATAAGATCTTCTCAAACAAATAAATACTGTTCTAGAATCTTCTGAAGAACGCCATCGCCAAGGATCTGGATGAGCCGAACCCCACGGAGGCCGTGGAACTCATGCGCCTGGACGCCGAGGAGGACCAAGCCATACGTGGTATGGTCGAGAGCGACGCCGATGTGTTAAATTTTGATTGGTCGTCGAAATACAAAAATTTCGAGGGTGTCAGGGAGGCATTTAGTGGGCCGTCAGGCCCAACTTTCAACACCTCGGGGATGTCTCCACTCCGCGTATTTGAACAAATCTGGAATACCAGCATTATCGACCACATTGTAACAGAAACTAACAATTACGCACGTCAGCTTCAGGACCAAAGAGCTCAAAAACGCTCGTCGAGAATATCCCGATGGAAGGAGGCTACCAGGGAGGAAATATGGCGTTTCCTCTCCATTTTGATGCTGCAATCATTAGTAGTCAACAACGTGGAAAAAGAATACTGGTATCCCAGCAATGATCATTTGCGAATAGGAAATTTCAACAAGATCATGACCCACAACCGCTTCCTATTGATAAAGAGGTGCCTTCACTTTATAGACAATTCCTCCTTGCCTGCACGTCCCTCCAAACTGGACAAGATCATGCCCGTTATTGCTCATTTAAATGATAAATTTAGCACTTTGTACCTTCCCGAGCAGAATTTGGCAATCGACGAGTCGCTCCTTCTATGGCAGGGGCGACTCTCGTTTGCCCAAAAAATTGCTACAAAAAGAGCTCGGGAAGGTATAAAGAGTTATGAAATTTGCGAATCCAGGACGGGCTACCTGTGGAAAATGGAGATTTATACAGGCAAGCGTCATCTTTATGCCCCGCAAGAAGCGTGTCCGGTGCCTATTGAAGGCCAGAAGGCGGAGCATAGGCTAAATAACGCCACATCTCAAATTGTTTTGAATTTGATGAGGCCATTACTTGGGAAAGGGCACACCTTGGTCATGGACAACTACTATAATTCCCCTTTATTATCCAGGCTCCTCAAAGCAAAACACCGAACTGATACGATGGGCACACTCCGGTTGAGTAGGGAGTTTATCCCCGAGGGATTGAAGACGAAAACTAAAAAAAATATGAAGTCGGGTGAAGTGTGCTTTAGCTCCACCAAAGATATCTGTGTGCTCGTGTACATGGATAAAAATATTGTGCCCATGATTTCGACATTCCATCCGCCCGAAGTCGGCGGAAAATCCAAATACGGGTACTACAAGTACAAGCCAAAAGTAATTGCAGATTACAACCTCTCGATGGGGGGCATCGACCAAAAAGATCAGCTGCTCAGCAGTTACCCAATAGAGAGGAACAGAAATCTCAGCTGGTACAAAAAACTATTTCGCCGACTTCTGAATGTGTCTATACACAATGCGTCGGTGATCTATAACCACGGCCGCACAGGATCTCACAAGTTAGTTAACAGATCGTTCCGGCTCCAGCTTTTGACAGAAATGCTGAAGAAGTACTCGCCTGACACCCCGCAAACACCCCAACAACCACAACCGCCACCGTCACAAATGCACTTACCTGTGAAGGTAAAAACGCAGCGGTGCAGATTATGCTATAGGAATAAAGTGCGACGCACGACTGTGTGGCGTTGTGGCACGTGCCAGGTTAATTTGTGCATCGACGGGTGTTATGCAGTGCACCATAGAGATTTAGAAAGTGAATCACTATAAAGACCCGAATCATTGATATGGTATAAAAAATGTATTAAGTTTAAAGTTGTTATCAAACAAACAATATTAAAGAATGGTTATTATTAATAACAGAGTTTACAAATGAAGGCTAAATTATTTGCAGAATAAATAAATCTTTGCCTTCCTAGTTGATTAGAAAATTTTAATGAGACAGGCATTGCTTAGTATGGGATCACATTGATAATTTTAATACACCCACTTGCGCAATTTGCACATATTCTTATTTTAGTATCACATACTCTTTAGAGATACTGAAAACATTTGTTTTTATACAGTGAGTCTATAAGACAAAGAAAATAGACCTTAAGTTTATTGTGTTTTAAATAGAGATATTTTTATCACTATCCTAGTTATAGTGATAAAAAGATCTTTGTGTAGGATTTTATTTTAACAGATAAATATGTAAAACTTGTGTAAAAAAAAAAATGTTTTTTGACGTCTTAAATTCTTACAATGAATAAACGATTTTGAATTTTCATTTTAACAATCTAAAAACTTCAGACCACATTGTAATGCAACTCGGAAAATAAATAAAATATATTAAACATATAATATATTTAATATATCTTAAAATACTCTAAATACTTTTTCTGCACCCTAAGGGTTGCCTGGAAGAAATAAGTCTGTAGAAATAAGTCTACGTACACTGCGTGCGCTGTACTATTGTTAATTTTTGTTCCGGATACTGCCTTATAATTGTCTGGTAATTGTTTCGGCATGACTTTTGTCTTTGATTGAATTTATGTAAATAAAATGTTACATTGTGAAATGAGATACCTTATTAGAATGGCCATTTAATGTACATTAAATCATGCTAATCGTTATTTTTATATTGTATAGTTTGTACTATTATGATCAACTAAGAACTGTTGAAGAAATGTACATATTTCTCAGAAGTGGTAAATGCTATCCCTGTGATTTTTGTTTGTTTTAAAAGAATATAAGACACTTTAAATACTGTCTATAGTTTACGCGAGTAGTACACATTTAAATAAAACACTTTAACGGTTTAAAACGCGATATATTAGTTTCCCCGTGACCACGGTTGCTGCAAAGCATCCGAAACGTCGGGCCGAAGTTAAAAATCATTTTCAAATAAGTTTAACTAATATATCGCGTTTTTAACCGTTAAAGTGTTTTATTTAAATATAAGACACTTTATTTAGTCTTACATTTATATTAAAACTAAAAAATATAGTTGTGCATGTGCACGTGGTAAGTTTAACATGCATTATAGGCCGTTCCGCGCCAGATAACGGTATAAAATCAAAAGCCTGTAAAATTATAAATTTGTATGAGCAAGTGTGTGTTTTTATTTCTCATCGTAATCTCTATTATACAGGTGTCCCAAAAGGTAGTGTCAAGCGGTAGTCCCAAGATAGAACACCCCTTGGAGCATCCGAAACACCCCCATGTATGTTCTGCGATTATTTATAGTTTTCGTGTTACGAATTTTTTCCTAAAATTTTGAGCATTTTTGTCCTAAATAACTTAAAAGCTGATTTAAAAAAAGGTGATAAGACTTTTTCTAGATTTTTCTTTCACAACTCAACAAGCATGAGTTGTACATAAATATTTAAAACATTTGTCTTCGTAACCTTATCGGAAGTTAAAAATATGATGGTTCAAATGAAAAAGTTACGAGCCGTGAATTAAAATTTTAATTTTCAATTTAAAATATTAATAGGTAGCTTTGAATATCATTTTCTTTCGGGCTGTTCGGCCGATGTGAGCGAGAAGAGGTTCTCGACGTTCCGGCATCACGTGTATCGGACGGCATCATCAGAAGATGTTAACTCCTCGATTGCTCGAAAAATTATGAGTTGTTCTTTTTTTTTGGGAATGACTATTTCGTATTGTGTTCCGACGGAGCCACAAATACTAACCGGGCGTTTTGGGCGCATACTAACGCCGTGTTTGCAGCTAGACCAAGGGTGCCCCGAGGGGGGCATCGGCCTCGGTTGGCCCTCGATGCGGGTGGGAGCTTGAAGAGCTGGACGGAAGCTCACTCGGGTGAGCGGTACGCGTAGTGAATGACCTCGCCTACGTCGGCGTAGGCGGTTTGCGGGCGATCGGCGCCGTAGTCGACCCATCGCGTTGCGACGAGTAAATCGACGCTTTGGTTAAGTCGTCGTCGGGGTCGGTGAGAACTTATGCGGCCTTCTCAGGTGTTAGGGAACGGTGTAGTTGGCGGCCCGGGCCACCAGGGGGTTCGGATGTCGCGGCTTATTTTAAAGAAACGTTCGGACGTTTCCTTGAAGTACCGACTTTAATTCGAGATATGAGTTGTTCGCCGCGGTCTCAAGATTATATAAACCCTGACAAGCGCAGATTGTAATGGTGTATAGTGGGGTAGTGGCGTGGCGTCACTACTCATAGCAGTTTCACCGGCCTGCCGATAAAGGTTATATGTATTAAGAACCGGTCGCATATCGGCGGTTAGTTGTGTGTTATTCTGTGAAGTGTATGTATGAGTGTGTGATTCAATGAAATTCATTTTCTTTAAAAGGTAGCCTTTTGGCATTTCGCAGAATTGGAACCCATGTTTTGTTAATTTTGAGAGATTCCTCGGATCTATTAAAATTCCGTTTATGTTTATACTATCTCTATCGCCTCTCTGTACAGGCTGGGGTAAAAAAGTGCCATTAGAACATAATAATTGAGTATTTTCGAACAACTCATAATTCTTCAAGCAATCGAGGAATTAACATCTCCTATATGGCGAAACGTCAAGAACCCTTCTCGCTCACATCGGCCGACACCAAAGAAAGTACGATGGCCGTAGAGAAGCCTACACAATTTATTAGGTACCTTTGTAGTCTAAGTAAGTTCTGAAAACTGCGCTCAGCTTTCGTAATCATTAAAAAAAAGACTACACAATACGCTACTTTTGATACCGGACCTCAAAGACAGATAGGCGTAAAAATGTAATAAATAACTATTTGGCAACGTGATTATTTTTTATTGCATTCTTGAAGTTATTTAGACAATGATGACAAAGCAGATATCGAATGGGGAAACTAAATGAAACAAAAAAAAAACTATAATACATTATTTATTATAAAAAGTTTTCAAAATGTCTCCCTTCCTGCTCAATACAAATTCTGCACCTCCTAAAAAAGTTTTCTTGTAACTGATCAAACGCATTTCTGTTATAATTTATTTTTTCCGCTGCGTGTTGCAATTTTAATCGCAATTCTTGTATGCTCTTTATTTCTTTAGCGTAGACCTGTTCTTTATAATAACCCCAGACAAAGAAGTCAATAGAGTTCAAATCTGGGGACCATGGAGGCCATGCAATTGGCCCTTCTCGCCCGATCCGCTCGTCTCCAAACCTTTGATTTAAATATTGTCGTACAATTCTCGCGTAATGACATGGAGCGCCATCGTTTTGAAACATCATATATCAATCTGCCGCGTAACACTTCCTTCGAGAAAAAAAAAAAAAAATTAAAAAAAAAAAAAAAAAAAAAAACCCCCCACAAAAAAAAAGGGGGGGGAAAAAAAAAAAAACCCCCCCCCCTTTTTTTTTCCCCCCCCCCCAAAAAAAAAAAAAACATCCGGGGAAAAAAAAAGGGGGGGGGGGGGGGGGTTAAAAAACCCCCAAAAAAAAAAAATTAATTTTAAAAAAAACCCCCCCCCTTAAAGGGGGGTTTTCCCCCCCCCCAAAAATTTTTAAAAAAATTTTTTTTTTTTCTTTTTGGGGGGGCCCCTTTTCCGGAAAAGGGCCCCCCTTTGGGGGGGGAATTTTCGCCCCTAAATTGCTGACCCTTTAAAAAAGGAATTGGCGGAAAACCCTCTTGTTGTAGTATTCGATGTGCCTGAGACTGATCGATTCGACTCTATCTGGATCTCGAAATTCACTTATACGTCCTGATCTTGCGCCTGGTAGACGCCCTTCCATATAAGAGTTATGGACTCTTAAAATCATTCGATGATCAGCGCCAAGTTTCAGGCTGTGATCCACCTCCGTTTTGTACTTGTTCTCTGTACAGCCTTCTTTAAGTCAAAGGCGTCACCTAATTGATTGTGTTACCTTAAGAAAAATATGTGTATATGAAATTACTTGCTCTGAACTTCTTGAACTTTTGATATTTAATGTACCAGCCAGGCCTTTGCGCACGCACAGAACATTTAATCTACCGACTCCTAGAACCAATATAGGGTTCCGTGCACCCCTCCACAGAATGTGTTCTTTGATAGACTCTTTTGAGGATATTGACCTGTATTATTGCCGCTCCTCGACTGCCTCATTAAAAAATAAATTAAAGCAATCAGTTACCTCCTTATTTTAAAACTTGTTTCTAGTTTTTCTTTTTTTTTATGTCAATTTGTGTAAAATTAATGTTAAGTGCCCCTAGTTTTAATTGTAAGTAACTATAATACTGTAATTTTGATGTACATCATTGTTTTTCATGGTCTAGTTGTGTAAGTTATTGTTAAACCTCGATTTTTTCTGTGCAACTATTTAAGGGAATATTTGTACTCTATATAGTATAGTAGATTTTAGTTATTTAACAATCGAATTGTCTTCAGAAATAATAAAATGTTTAAAAAGGTACCAAACCATATTGCTAATTTTAAAAATTAACTTCAAAAAGGCAAAAAAACAATTACATTGCCAAATGGCTATTTATTACATTTTTACGCCTATATGTCTTTGAGGTCAGGTATTAGCAAAAGTAGCGTATTATGTAGTCCTTTTTTTTAATGATTATGAAAGCTGAGAGTCTGGCGCAGTTTTTAAACATATTTATGTGCTACAAAGCTACCTATTAATATTTTAGATTTTAAGTTAAAAATTTAAGAAGTAATTCATGGCTCGTAACTTTTCCACTTTGAACCATCATATTTTTAACTTCCGTTAAGGTTACGAAGACAAATGTTTTAATTATTAATGTACAACTCATGCTTGTTGAGCTGTGAAAAAACAATCTAGAAAAAGTCTTATCACCTTTTTTAAATTAGCGTTTACGTTG